CCGGCAATCTTTGCTAGAAGCTACTGAGCCATTCCTGCCGCTCGTGCTTCGAACACGTGTTAGCGCCGCGATTGCGAAAACGTCTTCGAAACGACCGCGGCGGCCACGGAAAGAGGATTCCCCGGCAGTTGAATGACATGGAGGCAAATGCCGATCCCAGACCAGTGGTCATGTTCCACGGGGGATCCATCGCCGGCGCGACCCCGTTCGGATTGTGAGCTCCATTTCGGATCTGGTCAACTGATCCCGGCGCGCTCCAAAACACCCAGTGGAATTCGCCATCGGATCCAGATCGAGATCTGGAGCGGGAGCTAATCCAAAACGACCAGTGAAACATGTCGGTCTCAATCCCGATCGCCCCGTGAAATAGGCTCGCTCCAGAAAAGTCGATCCCGGCGCGCTCCAAAACGACCTAGGAATTCGCCATATGGCTCCGTCATCGAACTACCACGCTTTGTGTGTATAGAGGGGGCTATGGTGCTACAAAGGATGGCATCACCTTAAACAGAAGGACATTGAGGCACCTTACTCTTATACACCTGTTACACGGGCACACTTAACCGCGGTTAACTCAGCTTAACTGCGGTTACGTGGCAGCACTGATGCCGCACTATTAGCGGTGAGATGTTTCGGTGGCGCCCTAGTTCGGTTACCTTTCGTGACGTCATTACCTTGTGAACAACGAGCTCGATGGTGTGTGTAATGAGCATTCTGGAAGCCTGAAATCATAGCGGTCTCAAAGCAACACTACCAACACCGTCGAAATTGAAGTTCTTACATTCCTCTTATTTCCGTCAATGAGATATCCTTTGCTGACGTCATAGTCAGCATTTGGCCAATTGTGGTGGGCCGACCACAGCGACACTTTCGATCGCTCACGTCGCCAATACCCTCGGACAGCTATTTCAAAAGAAGTGAAAAGAGCGCGTGCACTGCTTTGATGGGTGCTCAAGATGCTCAAGCGCACGTTCGCCCATAGCTCTGACTGCATCGCCGCAGAATGTTGTCGGCAAGTATTGTGCGCTTATTGTGGTTTAGCGTAACTGCAGTTAAGTGTGCCCGTGTAACAGCGGTATTAAAGGGGCTGTGCAACGACATTGGGTAGGAATATTTCTTACTTTACATTAGCTTCCTGGCACTATAGTGCGACCCAAGAATACTCGAATGCAACACCACTGACCAAGAAGCGTCTTCGTCGCGGCGGAATTCAAAAAATGAAAGCGGAGCTTTTCTTTCAGTCTTTCCTTCCAAAACCGCCTTTTGCTCCTTCGCGAAATTTGATGACGGAGCTGTGGGGACAATGGCAACAGTACGATCCCCGGGAATGCGTTATCAAGCTTTGCGATGACGATATTCAAATGCTGCTCACACAGTGGATGCGAAGACTGCGTACGCATTCCATCTGGGCTCGTGACAATCGATGCCTCGACATGCATTCAGGTAGTGGCCCGTGTCCAGTCGCTGCAACGACGACAGTAGCCGAGCCATAACAATGTCAGGAACTCAGCGCGTGTCCTGTGCTTTGCCGACCCCAGCGCGTGGCTATAATCAACATTGGCGGCATATAATCGGCTCCAGATCACGTGGCCGCTTGTACTGGCTGCGAGTTGAGGGGGTGAACGGTGCTCGTTTCCTTTCATTTTTTTCAGGAACTTATATTGCGTGGGGTGAAAAACGAACGCATGTTTCATAGGTCATTAACGTCAGAGATCCGTTTTAAGCGGTATATGCGCAAAGTACAACAGTTGTTGCCATCGCCTTTTTAACATATCAAAACATTCGCAAACAACTAATGCCAAGAAGGATGCCATCTACGCCGGCTTGCTAGAAACAGCGTCTTAGCTGAGACTCGGGGAAAGAAAGCACTGCCAAAGCCAGCGCACGAACTGAGCGGGACTCGAACCGCGCCTCGAAATGCTCGCGCGCCCCAGCTTCTGCAGGGCTTTCTTTCAACCAGTCTCAGCTGAGACGCTTCAAGCTGAGACTAGACGCTCCGCCTTCAGTGCGAGCTCCATGGCTTCCGCTGTGCTTTGGTTTCGCGTGTCTGCGCGTTGACACTTGTGTTAGTACGGGCAGTAAGCTCACGCTGAAGGCGGAGCTTCTAGTTTCAGCTTAAGGGTGAACTTGTTTAGCAAGCCGGTCCTTACTTCCTGGCATGCAAGGAAGAAATTGCATCAACCTGCACAAGTACGCAGCAACAGAAGTTAGTCGGTCGCATCCGGTCGCTGGTCTCACTCCAGTACACGGTGGGCAGGCCTTCCCGCGAGCTTTTATCGAAGCTTGATGATGTCGACGACGTTGATAGTAATGGCGTGCCAATCCAACCTGGTTTGAAGGTCAAGACGTCGGTGTCGGTGCTCGAGAATTCAATGTTGTCAAAAGCGCGACTCAGCGCATGCCGGATAAGGTACTCGGTAGACGGGTTCAGAGGTTGAAACGGAGCATGCCGACCAAGGAATGCAGCACGGACAGAATCCGCACAAGTACAAAACAACTTCAAGTAGTGGCAATTTTTGGAACGCTTCAGGTAGTGTCAATCATTGCCACGGTCTCAGTGCATGCACTCGTTTATTCCTTCTATCCATAATATCGTTTCTCGTATCTCAATTTTTTTTTTCTTTTTTGGCGATCAGTTGATATGAATCAGTAAATTCAATTCCCGATAGGATTACAATGTATTATTTTGTACATAATATCTGTCTCTTTTTTTCTCCCT